TTCACTTCTGGGTATTGTATAGAGGCGTGGCGGGTTATCAGGAACCCTGGGATTACCGGGATCGTTATGGATCGGGTGTAGTATTGAACAGAACCGCAGTGGTTGATGGACTGTGCTTCCACCTGTAACAGTTAATGGGGCAGGGCGGTAGGTCAGTGACGTTGATGATAGATGATCTATGGTCAGTATATTACTCAGTGATTAGATTAAAGACGTGAATTAGTTGTTATTGAGAAAGAGAGAGTAGAGATTATTATCTTGTTGACAGGATGTTTGTTAGATTAAGACGATTATTAATGTTATCTCGACATGCGGTCAACACTACGTCATCATTGCTTTGACAACTGTTAAATGTGGTGGCGCGTTAATTTTCTGCCCAGGCACACGAACCGCGAGTAATGGTCGTTCAATATTGGCCCCCAATGGAGAGATTGTCGCTCTCTATAAACTTTTATAGGTTTTTCTTGTGGCTTTCATTTGAAATAAATCATAAAAAATAGTTCGTGATATGTTATGTCAGTGGTGGACAAATTTTGGCATTCAGCTTCAAAATCAATAGAGTAGGCTACTCAGATAATTATTAGGCGAATATATACCTTTAAAAAGTTATACATTTTCTGAGGTTGAGGTACACTATAAACAAAGGAGCAAAGAAGGGTGTATTGTATAATAGCATCAAAAAATATTAAATGACCGATATATTATTTTGATGAGACATTAAAGTCACATTTCATTCTGTGTTCAGTGCCACCCCGTCCACCCACAATGGATCTGCGACATGACATTTGTCACTCATATTGAATGCCATGAACCTGTCAACCTGTCATAATAGCAGCTGAGCGTGGACAAAGGATTCAAAACTAAACAGCAAAAACCAGAAATCTTATCTAGGAATAGTGTATATGTTCCACAAAATCAGTACTTATAGTATATAATAATGCAAGTCTTTTGTCCTTTCCGATACGTGAATACATAAAGCAAATTTGAGAGATCTTCACGCATATTAATTTAGAAAGAAGAAGTTTTCCTGGATATAGCTAGGAGAAATGTATCTATATTTCAACAAAAAACATAGCTTTTCAATATGAAAGGGTATGATTTAACGCTGAACGACAAATCAGTGAGCCATAACTTCCACTTCTATTGTTAATACGATGTTATTTACAGATTTCTAAATTACCTACAAACTTTTCCACTCGAGCAATGAAATTACCATGATACAAAATGGCCAAATAATGGTAAAAAACTTTCATCTTTCTCTGAAACTAAAAACCACAAAATTATTGTATGTGTCTAATAGAATGGGTCTCGTCAAGCGAATCCAGCCCTCTAGCAAAATACTTTTACATACATGCCACATTGAAGGCAGAAAAAAGATTCCTATCTTTTTATAAGAAGGGCGGGAATCTTTGAAGTGTGTATAAATATTTATATCAAATTGTTTAATTTGATAGCCCAATTCTATACTAATCTCTCTTTGTAGAATTAAATTTGAAAATATTGACCTTGCATTTGATTTACTCCGTGGTTCATTCTCGACCGAAAATTAATTAAATTGCTTATGATATAAAATAGATTTTTAAAACTATACTGTATTTATTTAGTCCACAATTATTGGTCGTTTAGGTGCCGATATTTCCTTTGACTCGGTAATATGGTTAAATATTATACATTATAATTCAGTATCGGTCTTGAATACATCATCAGCGAATTATATTCCCTCGAATATGGAACATTAGTAATTTTAGTTTTATATGGTAACGTCTGCAGTCCAAATTTAGCCCAGACAGCTTTGGTCGTCGAAATAAAATTGGCATTTACAGACACAACGAAGTTGTGCAAGGGACCATCGTCACATCCAAATGATAAGATGCGTGTTTCTTGTCCATCCCATAATGTGGGAATCGAGCTTGAAACATTTCGCACTTGTTCTCTAGCCCGACATATCTTCTACGGCAACCCGTGAAGTACATTGCACTGGGGAACATTTTGCCTCAATCTTGGAATAGAGTTAACAAATGATCTTTTTCTAAGACTAAAAATATGCTGACGACACCAGCTTACCACCTAAAACGATTAGACGTATCCGTCTTGACCACCAGAGAGGCAGATAACTTCATCTCAGACCACGCTGACGCAGTTTGACTTTGTACCCCTCTTGGCACGGTTTCTTTTTTGTTTTAAAAGGTGATTTCTGTGCAGTTAACATTATGTAAAAGGCATAATAATATACAATGCAGTACTTAATATATTTGATAATGATTAGGTTAAAATGGATAAGTAATATTAGCTAAAATGAAAGATTTGCTAATAAATTGTTGGGTTGTAGAAAAGCTGTCAAGTGTGGTGTTTGATAAAGACAATGACAGTACAAGTGAAGCAAAAACGAGATTAATCAATTCCCGGTCGTATGAAATATGTTTTAGATGTAAGCTGAGAAGCAAATAGATACGCCACTGAAATGGTTTCCCTCGAATTCTTTGCAAACGGGACCTAGCCAAACCGGCTACTTAGTCAAACCGCAACCGGATTCGTGTCTTGTATACAGAACACGCCAACTAATTCCACGATGTCCATCCTCTACTACGAGTAAAGCAACTTATTTTGTGAAATTTTATTGTGCGTGATAATTGACGTGCACGAAAGGAGAAATGAAACAACTCTAGGGTCTATTCTCGACCAAAGGGTAAAACCCAAACGAAGAACATGTAATTTACAATTACGAAATTCGAATGCCAAACTCAGCTAAAAATATTCCCATTAAATACCTTCTACTTTTATTTGTCTATTTTTGATCCTGTAGACCCCTCAAAGTAAGCTTTGGGTTGTCTGTAGCCGAGATTGCGTGTTAAAACCAATAAAATATGACCCTTAAATTGCAGAAAGAACAGAGTCATTACTTAAATTATAGTGATCCAGTCGGACTAAGGTTCAAACCCGAGATTCTTTATTAAACCACCTTAATCCTGACAGAACAATCCTGTGTGAACAAAAGATAAGGGGACGATCCGTGTAATCTTGTTTAATTATGACATTGTTTATCTATAAATACCCCTTTTTGCTAGAGTTTCTATCACTACTTGTCATTGATGTTATTATTTATGGTAAATGTCTATATATTTTAAACAAAGGCAACACGGTACCAATGAATAGTTTCATGTTATACAGATCAAGGCGGGTGTCATTTTTGTTTAAAATTGACATTAACACACCATGACACACCTGTCCAAATCATTAATTCGTAAAAAGTAACGAAACAAAAAATAATGGAAAGACACAAACACAAGAAATCAACAACCCTCGATCCTCCTGCTGCTGAAGGTTCAGGTTTATGTGCAGCTTGGGTGCCACTCGCGGTCGTGCTTTGATTCCACAGAAATTCCAGGAACAAGTGGCGGGAAGATGTCACACATTAAAATATCAGTGCAGAATTATGTAAATTTTATTTTATATTGGTGATGATGCCTGGGCAAGGACATGATTTTATCAACTTTTTTCAGCGACTATCAGGGCGGTTAACAGTCGTGGTTTCATACTGAATTCAACCCTGTGTCGGCTTTAAAATTAAATACATCATCGGCTGTTTCAATGAAAAACGCGTGCATTAGTGGTAAAATGTACAAATGCAGTATATTCGTATCATTTTCTACAAAAAGACATACTGTTTTTCTTAAAATTTAGGTCAATAAGAATAACTGTTGTAATGTATATATGTGAAATCTTTATAAACATAATATTTATGGGAAGACTGAAAAAAGTGGGATTACACGTTTAATAAAAGGAAGGTAAAAATAGTAAGTGAAATTTGATGATGGAGCTTTCATTACATGTCATCTAAACTCCATATTAACGCCTTTTTTGACAAAGATAAATGTTTTCGGGGAGGCAAATTCTGGTGTAAAACTGCGACTTTTTGTTATCAAAAGACTGTTTACCGCGAGAAAGTTTCAGCTCAGTGAACCTTGTAAAGGGTGAAATTATGATCAGTAAATCTCCCCACAAGGGGTATGTGAATATCATGTCTTACACCCAACCTTTCTATCCTATTTAAAATACGATGTATTCGTTAACAACCTTTTTTAATGCTTTGAGTCTAAGCAGTAATACTCATATTTCCTTTGTACGGTTTAAGAGAATTTTCACTGCTTTTTGAAGCACAATAGAGACCCCGACGTTTCTTTGTTTCTGTGCGAAATTTGAGTATGTGTCCTAAAAGCAGCGGGTTTTAAAACCGGTTGTGGTGTAACCCCTGATGAAAAACAACACTCAGTATCCACACAACACTTTCTACCAATTGATAGGTGACAAAGACATTATACTATTGTGGCCCTGGTCATCTTTCTCACTCAATTTCAGACCCTTGACAGAATTTATCTCCCAAACTTGTTATAAGGCAGTGTCCAATTTCAGAATTACTAACAGGGTTGGGCTTTATCTCCAGTGAATAATAACCATTATATATCAACATTAAATAAAGGTGTGAAATCCTTCACAAAAAATGTTTTTAACCATAAGGCATCTTTTCAAAAATGAATACAAAATGTTCCCAAAACTTTCCCCTATTTTATGTAGGTTCACAAATTTTGGTGGTGGATAACATTTAAAAGAGACTTTATGAACACAGCCATAAATCACAGTTATCAGTCTTTCTCTGACCAGGATGACCGAGAATGGTGGAGGGTGTAACTTGCATTTCACACCAAGACACAATTATTCAAATAGTAATATTCCTTCAATTCATCCCAAGGGATAGTACATACTGCTATATAAAGCTCTGGTGGCTCTTGACTGCAGCTCTTGAAATCAGATTAATCTGCCCCTGTTCCATGTAACATTCTGCTAGAACTATTTCTGAAGAATACCATATTTTCAATATGTATGACATATTTTTATCCTCCAGTAATTTTCTTAAATGGCATATTAAAAATAAACAAACAAGATATATTTTCAAATTTTATAATTTCATTCAAAAACAAAACAAGTAAACAATTGGTATACACAATTATAATAATATGAGCAAACAAATTTTCTTTTTACAAGAACAACACTTTATAGTGTTCAAAAGCTATTAATTCCAAATAAATCCATTGCACACAATATTACCATTAATTTAAAACATTGAGCAAACTCATTAAATGTGGTCCCTAGTTTATATAAGTTAATGCTGAACATTATATACTGGATTACAAAATACAATACACAAATTATATTTAATAAATAAAAATAAATTGTATATTATAATATATATATATATGGGTTATTATAATATTCATGGTTACAGGTCTTTGGTTAGAGGGTTGAATCTTAAATACTATATCAGAGTATCAGACCCTTAGTCTTAACTACAATTGTATAATAAAATATGGATAATGGATTTCACAAACTGATTGAAATAATAATAATAAAAATATTGATTATGAACTGAAGGACGGAATCAAGTCACATAATACACAATGAACTTATTGCAATACTATAACAATTAACACAGACAACTTCACTATAACACAAAAATAATTAACCGTGTTAGCTAATAACAGGCACTATTATTTTCCTTTTCATTAATCATATTTAAAGTTTTCCTTTTAAAGTTTTTTAAAAATTAGTGACCCATTTAATATTTTTTCTTAAATCTCTAACAATTGAGATTGTACATTAAAAATAATCAAAAAATGAATTCTGACATGTCATGGAATAAAATAATTGTTATTTTGTAAAAAATACCAAAATATAACAAAACGAATTAGTGTAAAAAGGCACACGGCAGTCAATCTAAACATGTACTGAAAATATAATATGGCACAAAAAAGCAAAAAGTAGAATAAATGCACTAAAAAGCTATCTAAAAATTATGGCTACATCTCTAAAAGCTAAATTTCTATCAAATATATACAAAAATGTCTTAAATATATTTAACAATATACAATATTCTTTGATATACTTACAATATCAGTAAAGTATACAAGTTTCATTCTTCAATATTATGTACAGTTATTTGTTATCTCCCACGGAAATTAATAAATCATTGTGTTCAAATCATATCAGTCAATGTGATTAAGTATTTATTTGTAATATAACTGCATTAAAACAATATTTTAAAAGTATTTCAAATAAAAAATATATTATTAACTACATTGTACAGTTTTGCTGAGCTAAAATTTAAATTACAATAATTATATTGCAAGACACAAATCTCCCAGAAGGAATAAATTATTGCTAATCATATGTAAAACATTGTCTTAGTTACTATATTGTTGTGAATATCACAAATGTAAATCTATGCTATTAATGTTCCTATATTTTGAAATCCTGATGTTTGAACTTTATATTCTCTTTGGCAATTATCTTTAGTTTGAGATCTGGTATCTTGAGGATCATTTGATTCACAAACACCAGAATCTTCCTCAGAATCAGCTGGAGAAAGATGTTTTCTGCATTCAAAATTATGATCAGGACTGTATGGTGATTGAGAATTGTTATCTGGAGAATTTTGTAATCTTGATTCTAGCTGGTTTTCAGGAAACACATTCATTCTGGATTCAAGAGAGCGAGTTGGTGATTGCTGTGATCTGGATTCAAGTGTTGGTGATTGCTGTGATCTGGGTTCAGAATAATGAGTTGGTGATTGTGATCTAGAATCAAGATTTTGAGTAGGTGATCTGGATTCAAGGTGGTGATCTGGTGACTTCTGTAATCTGGATTCTGGTGAAAAATGCACTCTAGAGTTAACATCTTCTGTGATCATGGAATCTTCGTCATCATCATTATTAATGACATCAAGTGGTGAAAGGTCTTTCATGTCCTCATCCTCATCCTCGTCAACATCATCATCACTATGGTTACTGTTGGTGCCGTTGCTTGTATTAACGCTACTACCAGTACTACCATGCTTATCTGTTAAACTCTCTTCTGTGCTATTATCACCAGTCGAAGGGTTTGTCATATCAAAGTCTTTCAAGGTATTTTCCAACAACATATTGAAATCAGTTACAGAACCAGCTGGTACACAGTTACCAGTTTTCCAATGTGTTTTAAGTCCTGAAGCACTAATATATTTACGGTTACACTGTGGACACTCATAAGGTCTTTCATTTGTATGTAGGCGGCGATGAAGTTTTAGATGAACAAACTGGGTGAATTTAGCTGGACACAATTTGCAATGAAATGGTTTTTCACCACTATGAAGTCTCATATGTGTTTTAAGATTACTTGTACTACTAAAACGTTTGCCACAGACAATGCATTCATGAGGTTTTTCTCCAGTATGTACCAGGTTGTGTTTCTGTAGATGGGCTAGCTGTGTAAAACCTTTACCACATGTCTGAAAGATAAAAAGTAGTATTTCATATTAATATTATTACTCAAATGTTCAAAACTATAAAAAAAAACCTTCTGATTTCGATACTCATTTATCTACTCCCCCACCCCCTCTGTATAATTATAAAATACCTACCGGTATAGAAAATATTTAAGAATTTAAAAACAAAATTTCTAAAATGCATACAAAATTCCTAAAATGTAAACAAAATCTAAAATAAATCTAATTACCTGACATATAAATGGTCTTTCACCCGTATGAGTTCTAAGATGTACTTTCAGGTTCGACAACTGACCAAATGTCTTGTAGCATACATTACATTCATAATGCATTTTACCATCTTTTTTTCTTAAAGGGAATGGTAAAGCCCGGAATCCTCGCATGAAACTATTCTGTTCATGTTTTGATTTACTGCTGAGATTTAAAACCTGTTCTGGTTGTAGAGTATGTTTGAAATTGTTAGGCAATTGCTGACTGGTTGGTGAAGGTGGAAAAGATGGTGTTGGATACATTGGCCATGATGGTAATCCAGGTATCTGAGGAAATGGATACATTTGACCAAACGGATAAAATCCTGGTAAGGATGGTGAAGGATAAAACAAAGGATTTGATAAACTCTGGTTATTTTGGCTAGGCAGTTTCCTGGATGGATCTTCAGATTTTAAAAATGGGTTAAATAATGGTCTTTCCATCATCAAGTTATTTGGCATGAAAGGATTGTAATTAAATGGTATTGGTGGTAGCACTGGAAGTTGATCTTTCTCTAAAAGTTTTCCGTCTTGAGTTTTAAATGGGATTTCTTCATGTGGCGATGGTATTCTGGATATGGTACCTCCTTTGAGCATTTTTTCACTGATTTCTTGACCATTTTCCATCATTTTCTTCAGCAATAAGTTTTCAATGATTCCAGTATTCTTCTTAGGTGTACTATGAATAGGTTTTGAGTCAATCTGTTGATGTGCTTTGGGTGGACTTGGTATACTAACAGGACTTTGGCTTCGGTTATGTTTGGTAAGAACAGGTGAATGGTTCACAAAAGAAGCTGAGAAAGGTTTGATATCCGAAGATTTTGATTTGTCAAATTGACTTTCATCACTGGAAGGACTGGCATCTCTTCTATGTAAACTGTAATCAATAACATGGCCATCTTCTAAACGTTTCTCTTGTTTAAGTGGTAGGGAAGGTAAAGGTAGTCTAGGTAATCCTAGAGGATTTCTGTAATAGGAACTACTGTTATTCTGTAGGTTTAGAACTGAATGAGGAATTGGCCCACCAAATAACTGGCGCTCTGAAATTAGATGAAAATATAATTAGTTTAAATTGAAGTCAAAGTCATGCACACATGTCAAATTTTTATAATTTAAATATGATAAAAGTAATTGAAGAAATATAATACCTTTTAAAAACATGTTACTTAAAATTGTATGAAACATTTTAATATTGTTTGTACTATGTGTAGATATTGACAGGCTAAACACCTCTCCCTGGTGAAAGCCCTTCAACTGTAACATGAAGTGCCAGTGACTATATTCAGTCTATTTAGACAGTGTTGATAGGCAGAGAGAATATAAACAACTTTTTAATAGCACAGATACACCATCATTTGTGAACTCTGTCCTGCTGTGTGAAGCTAAAGTCTCCCTACAAAAGAGTATCATTATGGGACTTTCTGGGGCAAAAGTTTGAAAGAAAGCCCCCCAAGAGGGAGAAGTTATCATCATTATTGTTCACAAGTTTTCTACAAAAGAAATGTCATTAAGAGGTTGTAAGAACATCAAATGAAAAGCGAGAAATGTTCCGCATGGTGTGATCAAGGTAGAAACAGCCAATAACTGACCACTGCCCAACAAAGACAGCTGGCCAATCGGGTTAGATTTACACCCATATGACTGCAAGTACTTGAAGAATAGTCAAACAATATAATTGATTATAACCGGACCATTTTCCTCTTCACTTAACGATAGTCACACCGTATAAACTGTCAAATAGCCGCTTTATGTTGCCTTGATTGTTTTCCTGTATTGTTAGGGGGCAGAGTTTCAAGGGTCGTGAGCTTTAAGATGATTATTGTAGGCTTTTAGATATGTGTAAGCATGATTAGAAACAATTTCCTGCTTAAACACTTTTAATTACTCTCAACACATTACACTCTTCTTAAATCCTCATAAACATCGTCAATATGGTCGTTTAGTATTGGTCATTTTGAGTGGGGGTGAACACCTTTTTTCATTGCATGTTTCCATTTGCATTTTACAACTGTGTCAAGTCAGAGGAAAAAGTACTTTAGAATGGTAATCATGACCATAATGCTCATTACTGTCATCATAAGTTACATTAATAGAACAATTAATATTTTACTCAATACCCAGTCCCACAAAATACCACATGTTCAAAAAACATAATGGCACATTTAATTTGAAAAGCTTCAGATTTTTTCCATTTATAAATTTCTTGAATATCAATGCCAAGAAAATCTTACCTTATCACAAAAGTATGTTAAAAGTCAAAGAGAAATAGAAATATTTGGTTCTTTTTCAGGTTGATTCTAATTAACTTCTCTGATATGATAAGGGGAATTAATTTGGTTCAAACCGAAAAAAAAACTCTGGATACACCTAATCTTTGAAACACCACATGGGAGGAAACAGTTTGTCAAAAAGTGGTCCCAGGGTAGTTGTAAAATGGTAAGGGGTAGATTTCTTCAAGTTTTCATCAGAGGAAATGAATGTTTTCTATTAGATTACATTTGATAACTTTTGCTCCACATTTATCTATGATGTACAGTTATAAAGATAACAGTAACCATACCTTAAAATGATTTATACCATAGTAAGTAAATTGATGTAATGGCTGATATTTTAAGATATTATATATTAGCTAATATAAGGTGATATCACTTTCTACATCGATTAAAATCACTTCTGAGTATAAACATATGCCAAAATAATATTTTTAAAACTTTAAATAATTTGTTTAACTTCCGCAGTAGTGTGATAATAAAACATTTTATATAAACATCAGTTTTAAAGAAACTTCTTATTTCTGCACATGCTAAACTCTGTAATTAAAACTCTGTGATAATTCAGAATATAACTAAATAAAACATACTGGAAGAGTTTTAAATTTTAATAAAATTAATTTTCTGTGTATGACTATTACATACAAAAGTAGTCTTTACTTGTCAGTTTGTTTTAAAGACTATACCTTCAGAGCACAAAAATTGAGCATGTGTTGGGTGTAAAACTGAACTCGTGAAATAAATAGGACTTACTCCAACTGTTTAAAACATCATCATGTAATGGTTGACTGTTAACACGTTCAGCATACTCTTTACTGTACCATACCAGTAATTCTGTATTAGGGGATATTGGTTTATTGGTGTAAAAATAAATATTATAGTCTATTTGACAAGCTATCAAATTCTGATGTTGGTTATTGAAGGCCATGTTAACATAACTCATCCAATTACTACATGATGTGTCCATCTGATTTACATACTGGTAAATTTTGTTATTTTCAAAAACCTGAAATGAAAAGAAAATGAATTATTTAACAGAATAATTTACTATGACCTGAACAAGGATTCATATGTTTAAGAAATGAAGGTGAATGATAATCAACCTTTCTGGAAAGATTTTCAAATAAATTGAGGCAGTGGACTGTCAATCTGTCATATAGTATGTTATATGAAACTCATTTTGATTTTCAACAATATTGTGCTCAATTGAAGCGATAAAAATACAAACTAAATGCAAATATTTATGGTGACCAAATGTACAAATCTGAGATAACAGTAGGGTATGCCGTTTTCTGAACTACATGTAGGAACCGACTGCAGGAAATGATCCCAGGAATTCCTGTGTCTCCCTGAAAGAGAAACCTTACTCAGCAGATAGAAGAAACCGACATAGGGTGATAACCCTATTTTTTCTTTAAAATGCAGGGTTGGGTAAAGGTGGTAAATATACTCTTAATCAGAATGTCATCATAAAATGTAAATTTCTAGCAATTAAAATACATGACTGTGTCATTTATGGATCCTATTTTGTTATGGTCTTTTTATTAAAAAATATCAAGATTTTTATTTTATTTTTAAAACATGTATACGGCCTGGGTATAGTCTGAATATAGGTTTATTACGATTGAGATTATATTTTCTATACAAAATACCACATAAAAAGTAATAAAGCTTATTTTATGAGCCTGCTATTTCAAAAGATATAAGGCACATGAATGGAAAGTGGGAGAAAAAAAGAACAAGTCTATGTTATTAAACTCAGCTAGCTTCAGAATAAATTAATACTAATTGCTGAATAAATCCTTGGAATATGATACATGGACAATCATAAAATTTTGGGGGGATTTTAGTTAGGATTAAATTGTCATAAAAGTTTCCTTATTTCAAAGATTTCACCTGATTTGATGTTCATTGAAGAGATTAATAAGTCATAAAATAAATTCCAAGAAACTGTGAAAGAAAGAAGCAGTGCTCAGGCACAGAAAATCTTGATCAACATAGCTTACATGCATGTTTTTTTTTTAAAAAAAACATTTCATTATTAATTATTCTCTACTTGTTAGCAAAAGGTTGTGTCATTTCATGCGTGGCATTGTTAGTGATTACAGGTGAAAAGAGAAAATTGTCAGCATTGCACATTAAAACATGGAAAATAAAGCAAAAAAGAAATGCAAATGAGTCTAAATACCCCACATTAAGTGTATAAAATGATGTTAATTTTGATCAGTTAGTGTTAAATTTATGGATGTGATGGTCAAAGATCAAAGGTACAGTGATGGGGTGAGTGATTAAGGCTGTGTAAAATGGACAAGTATTATGAATGAAGTCAGATAATACTTTATATCCCCCGTTCACTTTATTATAAGTTTAACAGGTGGCGTAAGGTGGTTTAACCTTCTACTGACGATTGCTCTTTGTTTGTATTTTCAAATTTGCTGTCTGAAATAGTCTAATCTCTACTATTGAAACCTTAATCCTCTTACTTCATTTTAAAAAAAACCCACAACAACCTTGGACTATCTTCTGGTGTCAAATTAATCATCTAACTTTTTCGTGATAAAATATTTGATGATCAAGTAAGCTGGAACAATATGTTGCTGATTTGTTTTAAACATGGTCAAATTTTTTTTAAAAAGATGAATTGATTGTCTTGTTACTCTGTTTAAAATGTAATATATTAGTTCTGGTTTTATAGGATCAAAATAATCTGGCATCCTTTTTTAAGTATGTCTTTAAGATAGATTCTATTACAGTTTCACATGACTGAATTAAAATTGTTCAGAATGATGGTTGGAGTAGGTCTTTCACTTTTATCTTTCTAAAAACTTAATAAACCTGAAAACCAGACACTGTAGGCTGTATGTGACATGATATTAAGTTACTGCAATGTATTTCACCTTTTGTTCTTTCTGGTAGTGAAATTAATACAAGCTTTAGTTTTTTTTTCAATAGGATTAGATTTAATTACAAGCGATCAGTCTAAAAAGCAGATTTTGAAATAGTTTTACTTTTTATAGAGTGTTATCAGATCTGTTATCTCAAAACTCGGATAAATGTTTTCTGTCAGTAGTCTCAAGGATATTTTTCACCAGATTGAAGGCTGATATCGTCTTATATTCAGTCAAAATAAAGTCATTAAAATTTTATGGATCTTTTAACACAAAAGTTACATGTCGCGGTATCTAAAACTCAATTGTATGCCATGCAATATTAATCTTTTCGCCTGTCATTTATTTCAAAAGGCGTCACAATCTACATCACTTCCAAATAACTTTGTTTATTTAATGTTCACTTAAAGAGGAACACATCTTTCAGCAACAAATAAAATATCCATTTACAGTACTGTTATTACATACTGTACATGTATTTAATCTTCATCAACAATTTTTTATAGAATTTGGTAGAATGATCCAAATTTGATTATTTACTAAAACTTTCATACTTTTAACAGCATCATAGGATAGATATTCGGTCAGTTGCATTTTTTTTGCTTAAATACATATTCAGGTCTTTTAAGAATGTGGAGAAGATATTTTCTTTTTCTGAAAATTGGCAAAAGATATAAAAAAAACCCAATTCTTTTAATGAAGCTGACCATTTTTAAAGTAAAAACTTCTAAGAGTTATCATGTACTTTATCTATCATATCTAGTTGTTTATCACCTTCAACACTCATACTAACATCTGAAAGTGCAAATTGATTCGCTCTCTAGTAATAATTAGATATAGATGAAAAAAATATGTTAATTTGATCACATGCTGTAAAAACAGCTGTTCTCATTTTCTACTATCATAAAATCTCTAACACTTTCTCTCCTCTGGACAAAACTATCACTTCATCTTTAAATGCCTTGCCACCATTTATAGGATAACCTGCATGAAATTATCTCGCAATTTATGATACAGAAGTGTAGGTGTCTAGTTAAAAATTCATCACTGAAAGTATTGTTGTTGGTATTTCCAAATAAATTAGTCTATAAGCGTGAATAGGCCACCATCGGTAAAGATAAAAGTATTGTCCGTCTTTTGTCAGATGGAGAGCGTCCAACACACCACGTTGGTTGTAAATGACCATTTAAAATTGAAGATATTGTTTATTAATGCAAAAAGAATCCAAAATATATCATCTTTGAAAATAAAAATAGCCTTTTAAGATTTTTATCAACATTAATGAGTTGGCTTTCTTCCGTTGTAGATCAATGAATAGCGAAATTTAAAGTTTTGAATGTAGATATGAAAGTTGATATTATTTGGCTTGGACAATATGAATAAAACATGTTTTAAAACAATCAATAGCCAATAAATCACTTATGGCCATACCATATGTTAAACAGCATATTTTACCTGAATCAAATAATTAAATTAATAATGATAGAAGACATATCAAGGTAATTTTGTATCTGGCAAAGGTTTCTTTTTTCTTAAATAATAAGTCTGATGTGAGGATGTTAGGCAGTATTAATTCCTGACAACAATTACCGGTAAACAAGGGAAGCAAGGGTTGGGCTATTCAAAGAGAATTAGAAATATTTTGGATTACTGGTAACGTGGATGCCATTGAAATGTAAATTTGATATCCCTTCTAATTTCATTGGCAAGCTAATACATGTAACAATTTTTGTTGTGTACAACAATGAGCATTTTATCAATTACATATACCTGCATTTTAAAAGTTTCAACAATTCCATATACCCTAATTTCAACAATTGCATTATACCTGCATTTTAACACCAGATTCTACTTCAGAAAGGGTTTTTGTACACCTAAGGGGATGAATGTAACCTGAAAGATGTAGGTCTATCCAATTATAACAGAATTATATTTTTGATGGGTTTATTTTTCTGAAACCGGTTATAAATACACAGGAGTGTGGCATGAAAAAAACTTATTTAATTATAAAATATAACTTGGGACATTCGAGGAAGTTCAATCTGGTTAAAGTATGACTGACAATTGAAATTATTCTAGACCCTGTACAGTGTAAGTTTGTTAGTATCATATACAGACTTATATAGAAAGCATCATTTCTAATGAAACCCAACAAGAAAGAGTTAGATGAACATAAAAAATATATATCTCTATCTCCTTTAAATTTAAAAGTAAAAAATAAGTCATTTAACTACACTCTAGCTGGATCCCATAGAAATGAAAGGAAATAAAATGGTGCTTAATGTCCTATTTGTCTGCACCAGAAGGGCTAATGAAGAAAGGGGACCCTGCAGAATATAGATTCATAAATTATCTTACCTTCCATAATCGTCTATGTTGTAGTTCTTCAGTAGTTGGTTCTCTAGAAAACACTTCACCTTTTAAAGGACCAAATCTTGTACCTCGTGGTATATAATCTACACTCCATACACCCAAGACCTTCAATTATATAAATCATTTCAAATAAAAACACTTTTCAAATTAATAAAAGGAAAATAAATATAAACATTGATTTGTTTAAGGAATTATTTAATTGACTATTCATTGATTTATTTATAATTACATAAAACATTTATCAAAAGTAAAGCATCTGTTTGCTTCAGTGAAAATATGGATACATTAAATCTCTGCCTAGCAGTTTATTAAATACAATACTAGTCTGGTTAGTAATTCAATAGTATAATAACAATTGGTGATAAAAAAATCATTATTTATAAAGCCCAAAATATTAGATTTGTTGCTTGCACTGGCACTTCTATACAAGCACTTACACACAAATCTAATATTCTATTATCAATAGGGTGAGAAATGGCCAAAGGGCAGGTTCCCTTTTCTTCAGAAATAAATTGAAGATTAAATAGCCAGTCCTACCCCCATCATTTACTCTGCAGTACATATAAACATACAATCAAAATCTATTGTCTTCATTCTTTTTCACCAATCATGAAAATTCCCTACATACAAATTCCCTACCAATTATCAACTAATCTCTTCTCATAAAAAAATGCCATTTCAATTTTAAATCTCGATACTAAAGAATAAACCATTCTCAGTTTTGTTGATAGTTTTGTTAAAAGCTCAATACCCCCTATACACCACGGCCAGTAAAGTTTACTTGTTAAGGTAGACAGTCGATCACTAAGTCAATAACAATTCTTCTCGCACGAATGGAGTCACTCGAGTGTTAAAAGTGTTCAAATATTGCCGTTATCTGTTGCGAGACTTGTTCAATAACGATAAACTCACTAACCCATTATGCCTTTCACTTCTTCTCAATATGTATACACATATAGTCGTCAACTTTACAACAATCAATTGACCAAACAAAATTATCTCAATGTAGAGATTTGTATAAAGTATTTAACTAGCTTTGATAGTGTACAGATACCTTATTACAATGGAAAAAGCATATAAAAGAAAAATAAATCCTAGAGTAATTTGAAGTAATAGAAAGAAATGGATTTTTACCATTGACTATCATGTTATAAGTAAATGGAGCGGTAAATTTAGATAAAATATTTGTTTACATAAAAGATGGATTCATCATCAGTGATAAAATGAAGAAGTAGAAATTAATGTCCATCATGATAAATGTCATCATGAACACATTTCTCTTCCCATTGTAGGAGTCTTATTGCCCATATTCTCTACCCCACACCCCCTCCCTAAAACATTCTTAGTTAAAAAAAAGAGTAAAGAGTTACAGATGCAAAAGCTTCAAGATTAATGAGATGAACAGAGTGGATTAATTTTAAAAATGATCAAATTATTCTAAATGAACAACAAAAGAATTCTGAGAAATAAATATGTTCAAATACTCTTCAGAGTAATTACTATACCTTATACAACATTCCTGGCATTTAGATTCAAATTATATTAATATGAAATTGAAAGAACAAAGAAAAAATTTTGAATAAAGAGTGTTTCAAGAAACCTGGGGAGTATGATTTATGAACAAATGTAAAATTCATTAATCAATCTATCAAGATATGAAAGCATTCTCAAAACATAATGTCACACTTAACAATAAAGATTTCAGTTTGTTATAAAATTGCCACACTGAGTCATAAAACAATCAATTAGGGTTTTTAGTTAGTTTTAAATTAGTACACTTACATTTCAACATTTTCTTAACGATGTAATGTCACTTTTTTATTACCGATCAATTAGTATTAATTGTTCTTTAATTAGAATTAAGGCGTTTTATTTCTTAATAAACATTTACTTTTGTTATTTTTATATTAACAATATCTTTTATGAAAACTTTTAAGAAAATATAACTTTGGAAGAAAAGAACCATTTTTGGATGTTTACTTTAGAAGATTAATTAAAACTGGGGTTAAATGGGGGAATATGAGAATTTAATTGAAGGTGGAGTTATGTTTTGAGTGACAGGTTTGTTTGTGATGTCAAGGGATTAATCCTATGATACAAGTAAATATTATGGGTTACGGGGATGGTGTATTATACTATCTTCTGATAATACAAGAGATAAAAGTTACAAAAACAACTAGAGGACATGTACAGGTATAAAAACTCTACAAAGACTCAAATACATGTAGAAATTATTTCTTAACAGTACATCTGTGAAATATTGAATATATTTATTTGTTAGCATTTTTTTCAGGACCAAGTTTTTCTAATTTCATAGAGCAATAGATGAAAATTTCTGTTGAGGGCAAAAAAAATAATCTGTTAATTAAAGAAGCATTATGTTAGATTAAGATAAATAGTTCAAAAATAGATAATTCAAAATTAATATATTACAAATTTAATTCAAATTACTGTATTCTGAGCAAAGATATTAGCCTTTCAAGGTTTGACACGATGTGGGCAATAATTGTAACCACCATGCTGGTTGTTCGAGGATTAGACTTGCTTCACCATTTTTAAATTAAATCATTAAATGGTTGAAAAGTTCTAATCTACTTAAAATCGGACCAATCTGATGGCATCGAGAGTTGATTATGGTCTTGTCAAGTTAATAAATTCTAATTAATAGTTTATATAACATTTAAGGCCTAAAGAAAGACCTGCAATAAGCAGATTTAGCTCTTGCATAATGCCTGTTTAATCTTATCAAGTTCCACTAAATGAAAAATTCACTATGTATTCCAAGAAAGAAAACATTCAAAGGATACAGAAAAATTGTATTATTCAAACAATCAAAACCAAGTTCATTTTCAGCTCATTTAATCATATAAAACATTCACAAAACACTCATCTTATTAAGAAAATGTTGAAATAAACTTACATTAGAATTGATTTGAGATGGTTTTAAGGTGAGATTCCGTGGTAAGGAGGCTTGAGCCCTATTAGGACAAACTCTTTCACATGGCCGATCATGAACAACATACACACAAAAATCTTCTAATTCGTCTTCTTTTAAACTGTTTACTTCCCATCCCTCCTCCATCATTTCTAAAAAGAAAAAAAATCAACAAATACAAATTTAAGACAAATTGCTATTATGTAATAAAAACAATGTAAATATACAACAAATATTTGCAGAGTAAAATTATAACATTTATCAATATGAAAATAAAACTTTTTCATACAACAAGATAAATAGTTAAGAAATCTATACCAAATATCTGAAAAAGTAGATTTATTGTAGAGTAAAATTATTAATATGAAAATAAAATTAATTTATACCAGATAAATAGTTTAAGAACATTTGTTTTTCCAAAAATTCAATATTTTTACCTGAAATTTTGTACTATTAACTGAATGTCACTAATTATTATCAGACTGTTAATATAAGCTTACCATTCAGTCTTTACTAAAATTGTAATAGACAATCTACTCAAATCCCATGACTTTATGAATTAAAAAAAAAAAAAATTCTTTCACTGCTTTCATAAGAGAGAAACCAAACATCAAAGTTGGCAAAGACTTTTGAGCAAGTGAGAAGGTATCAGAGCATAGAATGGCAAGCAATATCAAAGTTTCCTGTGATTCCAGAACCTGTTAACTTCAAGTTACGATAAAGAACATAAGATCAATAAAAACAGCAAATGTTGAGATGAGAGGATAACCTTGTCAAGTTTGTAGATATTTCATATTTTATCTATCTTTTTACCTATATATTAAAGCCACACTTCAAGTCCTGTAATCACATACCGTGGCGAAGGCACCAGACCTGTGTCTTGGAGATGGCTAATTTTCTAGTTATCCCACTGGCACTGGCCACTTTATACCTTACATTTAATATATCAAGTCAAGAACTGATACATCTATCATGATAAAATCTACTTACATTACTAAAAGAGAGGTACTATCACAAAAAATACATTTAAAAGAAAAATCATGAGTGTTTTGTGGGTGCTTTTTAAATGCTTTTCATCTCACATAATCAGTTTCATTTTCAGTGAAGTAAGCTCCCTAACAGCAGGGGCTAGTCTGATCATTCATAGAGATGAAACTATTTCATTATCAAGTGTTGATGAAGCACTCTAGTAATAAGACATTTTAATAAATATTTCTGTAGGTTGTATATCATGTGATATATTACAACTATAAGGTGCTAGTTTAAGTATACACTCAGTCCCCACATCTCTAAAATGAGTTACAGAGTACTTGATTCAACTCTACCGTACCCCCCTAGAGACTTTTTTTTTGATGAAAGATAAATATATCAAGTCAGATATTTTAGTACTTTTGTTCATATTTTACTCAGATTTTTGCCCTACTACCCTGTCCATGATATACATTTTTTTTTAAAAAAAAAAGAATTTTTTTTGTATGATATATTGATTCCTGGATTTCTATTTTAACAACAATGAAAGCATTTTAGTTTTGTTATTATAAATCATCGATGTATAAACTTAAAGTAGATTACTATATTAAGTGATGAATGACCATTTAACAACAGGACAATCTTAAGTAGAAAGCACATGTTTCTCCTATTTTTTCTCTGAGAATGTGTTCCAAACACTACTCAAATAAACTTATAGTTTGTGATATGTATTATAAACAGCAAATGAACAAATCTTATCTATGGTTAAATTAAAATATCATTTATGAAATGAAAATTTAGGCATATCATCAACATAAATCCTAAATGCACATCACTTAATAATTAATCCTAGTAACTCCAATGTAATTATTCTGTTTATCAATTTTAATTTAGCATTTAGAGATTAATGAACCTGTGGGTGTATATATATCATTTCAAGGACCATAAAATATCATGAAGATGTCTGTTGGCAGAGCTAATAAGACAGCCATGATTTATATACTTCTCTAACAAACATTATGAATGAAATCTTGTCAATGGTTTATCTTTATGCTTTCTACATCCATTTTATGAGGATCCAGTCGCCCCTCTGCTATCAATATCTGATTATTTATTTAAATAGAGTGTAGAACATGATGGTTTTATGTTTACCTTTCATGTCTTACTACAAGATAACAAGCAAATCATTCATAAAACGTAGAATATAAAACAATTGAAAAACACTTTTGGTACATGATGTAGTTCTGTTTCGTAATTCCATATTTTACTATAAATAAGACAGATATTGAAGTAGGTAAATTGGAATAAAAAAGGTTATTATTAAAGCTTTCTTAAGCTGAAAACTAGTTTCTAAATTATTAATAAAGTAGAGCATAAAGAGGATTCATAATTGGAATAATCAAAATTCTAAATAAATCATTTCCTTTCCAAACCTTGTTCAAATCTTATGAAATTTCTTCAAGAGACGTTTAATTCTTTTCTGTTCTAAAATTATCGTATTTTCCCTATGTCATAAATACATTTATAAGAGCTTAAATGATAAGATTCTATTATGAATTTTTTGGAAGTGAAATTATTTTTGTAGCAATAAAGGAAGCTTTCGTCAACAATTGTAAAAACTAGCCATTAGATGAAAAAGGACAAACACTTGTCAGGATCACAAGCCGGGACAAAAATCCACTTGAATTACAGAAAGTATAAAGAAAATCTCATTTTGTAGGTTTGTTCAAATTTTCAACTATATAACCATCTTAGCACTTTTCCGATCAATATTGTAAATATTAATTAACACTGTTTAAAACTCTTCATGTTTATCGCTTTTTACTGGATTAAAAACAGATCCCATAGAAATGGTATGGAAGTTTATATCTTTTTGAATAGTGACATCTCAAAAAAGAAAACTCTCGTCCAATATTTCTTTAATCACACAATACAAGACAAGACTAATTCAACTCGCTATATAGAAGAGGGTTTGTATTTTACCACTACAGCAAACCAAACAAACTTCATACACAGCACATTTTTCAATGATATAATAAATGTAAATCGGTTTCTTTTCGTTTCTTCGATTCAAATCTTTTTTGCCCTTGGCTACAAAATGCAATTGACATTGCTTTTGCTGAAGTAGAGGGGAGTGGTCTACCTTTACAAGTCCTCAAACTGCTCTTTCTTTATGTGAAGAAAAGATGATAATTGTAAAATATGAACAAAATATGACATTTGCGAAAAGAAAAAAGTCAATTTAGAATTTAATATAAAAATTTATTTGTGTTCCTTGACACAAGTAATACGGTTTCACTTGAAGTAAGTATATGTGTATAAATAAGGTGACTGATATTGAAATAAACTTGTTCCACCTTTACCACTTGTTAAAATATTCTGTGATATTAATAACTTCAATAAAACTAATAGTCTGCGATTCGCTGATGAATACACCATTCATTTAATTGAAATTATATTATTCATTAGTCAGTGTTACCCCATCTGCCATTTATAAATTGTAATTATTGAACTTGATTGTACTTCCAGAAATTGCTAAGTATTTTTCATTAAATTACAAATAGAAACAATAATCAGGTTCAAAGAATGTATGCAGAAAATATTCCTTAGAAATTAATTGTTTATTGAAAGATTTAAAAGAAGATGAAATTTGGGAAGGAAAACAGATTGTGTTGCACTTTACCTAATTCAAAGATTAATTTCAAACTCTGGAACTAAACAATTATTTTCCTATTATAGAATTTAATGTACAATTACCCTTCCAAATTTGAGATTGCCTTATTGTTACAACCCACGCTCTTCTAATTACTAAATGACAAAGTTACAATATATGCATTAATATAGATTGTAATATCATTTTTAAAAATCATTAAAAAATTAAAATCATTACGAAAAAACACCAAATTCTACATAAATATTTTAAATAGATATAACTTAATGGTATTACCTGAATAAATAATTATCCTATGGCTGTGTACTTATGATGAACGAAATGATGTTGATGATGGTGATGTGTCATCTACTACATGTATAAGTCCTACATGCAGTTTGAACTAAGACTGATAGAAAGACCTCATCAACTCTTGAAACAATTGATAATAGCTTTATTATCAACTTCCCTTACTCCAAATCTGTATGGTTACCTCTACCTTATCATTGAATAATTGAACTTTGAAACACTTGTGCATCAACAAACTGTTAATATTCTTATTCTCTCAATTGTTTTCACTATTATCCCAGGTAAATGATAAGATGCATTATGTTCTACTATCAGATAGATAAGATGGGGGTTTATGAGTGGTCAACTGACCAGGTGGGAGGATGGACAACCCCCTACTGACATCCCCCCCATCATACTGTTGTGACAGCAGGAGATTAATTGCTGATTGTTTTATTGTCCTCGCTATTAAAGATTACTTAACACCAATAAAATTCTCCATTCTTAAAACAATAAAGATAACACCAATACCAATAGACTTTTACATACTAATTAATAAGAATTAACACTGATAAGTAGTATTTATTTATGCTTTGTTGAATTTCTTGAAATCCTTATTGCTTAATATTTTAATCGCCCAGATAATAATTAGTTTATCAGAAGAATGTTCATATTTACTTCTATAAAAAAAAATCAAAATAAAATGCAGATGAAAGATATTTTTAAAAAAAAAAGAAACAAAATTCAATTTAAAAAAAGGGTAAAGAAAAAGCAGGCAGAATAAACTATAACAAGTGAAATAACATGAATCAATTTCAAAACAAAAGAAATCTCCTATTTGATCAGAATTCTGAAGAAATGAAATCAAAGAAAATGAAGTACTAAAAAATGCCACTGTAATAATTAGAGAAAGATATATGACAGATATAGAAAACAAAGCCAGTGTTTACTTTTTATGAATTTCTTTTTCTTAAAATTACAAAAAATACTTTTGACATCTCCTGTGATCATTCTTCTGATCAATTTGTATATCAAGTGTATACATATCATGATGTTTTTTTTATTATCTATCATAAATACACATGTACAATACCTGTTTATAAACATAAATCACCAGTTATAAACCTCAATAAACATGGTCTATATACCTTTAGTAGTCAATATACACTGTGTGTAAGTAAATCAGTATATCTTCACACCTCAAGGCCTCAAGCCAATATGCACTTCATAGTAATCATTATCAAT